CACATCTATGGCAAGTGCACACATAGTTTTCAATGTTTCAGTAAAGAGTCATCCATCGGGCATGAAGCAGTAGAACCATTGACTGAAGATTCCTTAGTTTACACACGATGTCTGACGAAGTGTGTCACTGCTCATGGAATTTTCAGAGTTAGAGTAAGAGGTCATCGATCCAACAGAGTCAGAATATTGATCATTTAAAATTAGATTGTAGGTCATGGACAGTGTGTGAACATGTATGCTAATTGCCGACTAAATTTTCAGAGTAAAATATGACGTAGATTAGAAACACACGATTTCGTCATGTCATTGCAGAGCTTGATTAAGTTTATACAGTACATTTTATGGAGTATGCTAACTCTCCGCTGCACTGAAATTACAGGACACCCTGTCCCAGCGGGCTCGGCACACTCTCCGCTCCGCTGAAATTACAGGACACCCTGTCCCAGCAGGCTCGACACTCTCCGCTCCGCTGAAATTACAGGACCGGACACTATGTCTGGGAAGAATTTGTGCACTGGAGCAAATGATTTAGGGGTATACAGATTAGTTGGGTGAGCACGGTGCTATTGGGCTAACACTAGACCCTATGTAAGAAACCTATGGTTTTTACAATCTTTATTCATGGAAGCATGGTTTCACCATTAGATATTATGGAAAAAGTAGGCTTAATGTCAGGAAGACAAAATGTATAAAGGAAGTTTTCTGCGGATGGTTGGGAGAGGAGAGTGGTGCAGCAGTGGTGGCAGGAGGAAGAAGATTGCTCCATCCATCAGTTGGCCGAGCTCCGGCGTCCTCACATCAGGCTTGGCTTGGAGTGCTGACAATGAAGCATTCTACATGGTATGCATTCAGATCCGCTTCATCTGCTAGACGCTAAATCGAGTCAATGGACCAATTGGCTAGAATTAGAAATTAACTGTGTGTATTTTGTGTTTGCGCCTCCGTGTATTTTTGCTGAACGCTTAGTGTGTTCATCGCTGGTAGGAACTATCTCTAAATTAGTTGTTATTATTGCAATGTAGTAGCCAACGTGCGTGTGGACTAATGTTTAATTATGTGAGATTACCCCAAAATGCCTGATGCTGTCAAGCTGCAAAATGCACCTTCGTAACCTGACAACCTAACCTGACAACCAACGTTTTTCCAGCATTTTATTTGCCCAAGTGATGTCTTGCCGACTTTTTTTTCTTGTGTCGGTGACAAATCTTGCCATGTGTTGGTTGTGCGTGTAAAAAATAAAACCTCTATCCATGGACTCCTGTTGTGAAATTTTAGAAGACGCCTGATACATTTTAGGGGGCTCATGCGTAAAACTTGTACTTGGTCTATCTGTATGTGACATCTACCAGTTTGAATTAAAAAATCGTTAATCATGGGACGTAAGGTGTCGATGGAGGTGGTGGGGGCAGCTAGAGTACCACGGGCGGCTCCGTTTGTCCCAATGTCTGTACCAGCGATGGCGTCCGGGAGGCAGCGCGCATTGAGTGATACTGTTGGGTGGGCATCATGTACTGTTTTTATATTAGAAACTAGAGGATATCCCGCGCGTTGCGGCGGAACTTAACACTGATATAGAAGGATACACAAATGAAAACATGTAGTGTGAAAATTATCGGAGTGACACATATCAGCACAGAAAGGTTGACATTGATGTCTTAGAAGAATCGTATTAAAAGAACACTCAATTGATAAAAGAAAGTACTGATGTGAATCACTCAAAACAAAATGAATGAATGCTTTCATAAATTAGGGCATACAGAATATGGCTCTGATGATAAAGGCCATAGTAAAAATATTAATGTACACAACTTCGAGAGAATAATTGCACCAAAAAGAGCTAAGATCTTATATCCATCAGCACAAAACATGTGCAGTTTGACACCCTTGTGTCCTAATACCATACTTGCATGAAGTATGTTAGGCAGGGAAAGGTTATAGGAAATAACACAATTATGAGCCAGCCAATAGCATTAGAACCGAGTTTCAATAAGACCGAGTGAACGCTTGCACATCTAGAAGAAAATTGGGAAACAGAAATGGGTTAGTTTACTTGGAGAGATACCTTGGTCTACCTAGTTGCTTTGTCCGGCCGTGGTAGCAAGATCCTAGAATCGGGAAATGGAGAAGTAAACATGGTTAGTGATGATAAATTTGACTTTCTTATTAGTGGACATGAAAATAGGGCTCAACAAATATGTACAAAATAAATATAATAGTTGCAAGATAAGCATAACACAACAATATAAGACCTTGTGTAAACATAATCGCTCAAAATCGAAAGAAGAAAACCAGTAAACCAGAAAAGAATTAAGAAAGGAACTGGCATCCATATTTTTAAGGAAAACATGGGTGTGAATTAATTAGAAAATATTATCATAACTGGAAGAAAATTTCTGAAGTTTCTTATTGATAATAATCTTTCCGTTGTTTGGATGTTTTAGTTTACCAAGGTCAAGTGTTCCAGACAAATGCTTACTTTCTTGCATAGTTGGAACTCTGAAAATTAGTGCGCTGATTGGTGCTGGCAGTCTATATATGATATGTCAGAATCAATTTCACTAAGAGTTAGTTCTCTGAAGATCATAGAGTACTTTGATTATAGCACAAATAAACACACAGCAAAGGGCCCTGATTGGTGTTGATAGTGTACATAGGATAGGTTAGAATCAAATGAAATAATATGTGTTGTGATCTGAATGGACTCGATCTAGTCTGCCCTGAGTTTCGATGTTTTAGTTTCTTCAAAGATCCTCACTATTTTGCATTTACGAAAGATAAACTCACTGTATTTTCCCCTCAATTTTGAAATTACTTCTAGTCTAAAGATTGAATCGTGCAAATAAGTTGAAGTTATTTTCCGGGTCTCACCTCTTCTGACCAGTGCCCGGTGACCTCAAGTTCGCCGATGTTGGAGCTGCACCCATGGATGGATGGTGGGCTGATGGTGTCAAAAAAATAAATCAAAATCACATTGTATAATCTAAAATGGTATACACTATCTTATATCCAAGTGAAAGAGACTCATAGTGAAATCCATCTGGAGCACTAAGTGTTGTTAGCCTGGACTGAGAGTGTTCAAGGTGTGCGGGGCAGAGGCACAAATGGTAAAATAAAATCCAAATGAAATGATGTGTCTTTTTCCCACACCATCCAAGAAATCAATGGACAACAGATTTGAATCGTCTTAAAAAAACCAGACACAAATAGGCCGTATGTATGTCATCGCTCAATCCCAAATAGGGACCATACGGAAGCTTGTTAAGACCAATTCTCGTGATGCTGGCCAACTGTTCCACTTCCACGCAATGAACAGAAGCAATACGCCATCCTGAACGCCGAGGGATTGATGTACTGAAATGCGATGACCTTTTCATCCTGCGCACAAGAACAGAAGGTCCCACGTTTAGCAAGCAAATCGACAGATAGCAACTTGTATATCAGAGACGGTGTACGAACCTTAGTAGAGGAGAGCGATGGTGTAAGCGGCGGTGCATCGGGTGATGTTGGAAAACAGAGTCCATCATCTGCCTTAACCCTTCCCCCTTCGCAGCAGAGGCATGGAAGCAGAAAGACATATTCATAGGCCCCCTTCTGGGAATTGATACATGGGAAGAAAAAGTGGCGCCGTGGAATTGGCCGAATTTGGCACCGCGCCGGGACGCAGTGATCGTGGTCGCGGATTCTTGGCGCGGTCATCAAATTAATCGGAAGAAGTGTGATTCCACGGCGCAGCCACACAACTGGATCTAGGCGAGGCCCTCGCTCCTTTGTAGAGGAACGGTGTGTAGAGTCCTAGGGTCGGGAATGGAACAACGGCCCCGTTTCTGCAGTGAAAATTCAGGCCGTCAGAGAAGCTAGAGGCCAGGGCAGCCAGACCTAGGAGAGGGTGTTGGGGCTGGGTCGTCTTCCATCGAGTGGGGCAGCATGAGCTCGTAGCTGCTGCCTTTCTTCAATGGAGGCTTCAAAATTTCTGAATGAAGAGAAGAATATGAGACGTACAGACCGCAGAGAAGTAGATACGGTGGGGAGCTGAGAATAAAACAGGGTGTCTTTGGCTCTTAAAGTGTAGATAAACTATCTTGTCAGTTTCAGAAGTTGAAGAGGAACCGATGTGTGAATAATTAAATCCCATGATTTTTTCCGTGGAATTCTTTTTGCTGAAGTGGCAGGTTTGCTGAGTTGGATGGCTGCATGTGATTGCTGATGTGGGTAGCTTGCATGTCAAGAAAAATTAAGTAGTGGGGATGAACTATTTAGGTACTGTAGATACGAACCGAATACCAAGCCATGCTCAAATCATGAGGCACCTGTGTGGTCTAGATTGCAGGAGCATCTGGACCTGGGAGCCGAATTGCATTTCTGGTTCTAACTTTTCTCTAAATCGAAAGAATAAGACACGTTTTAGTGTGTTTGTTCATTTATTTTAATCCATATGTAGTTCATATTGATATATTCAAAACATCTTATATTGGTGAATGGAGGGAGTATTATTTACACCTTCCATGCGATTTAATTTTCTTTCACCCAAACAAATACTATTTTTTGGTGAAACAGATGCAGATGAAAAACTATGTAGAACCAAACAACTGTATTAATAATCATAATTATGTGATGGAGTTAAGACGTGCGTTGCACGTGCAAGCTTACTAGTCGATCACGAATAGTCTCCCGATTGAACGTGAATATTTTTCCTCGCCATTTGCTTTTTTTTGCAGGTTTGCTGGGCCGGCCTATGTGGTGATGCCCACAGGCGCCAGCTACCTGTCCGGGTCCTAGACCCTCTCGGCCCGTGTGAACGCGGGCCTAACCAGGCTATCCAAACCAGGCCTAGCCCATCCGGCCTCGCTGCCCTGCTCTAATCCCGTTTCCGCCTTCGTCTTCCCCTCCGACCCGCTCGCCCACAGTCCCACACCGTACCAGCGGATCCGGCCCGCCCCCAAACCCTAGGGCGCCTCCCTCCCCGGCGCACGGTGGCCGGCCGGCGAGCGAGCCAGCGAGCGATGGAGGACGAGGAGATGGAGAGGAAGGTGCAGCAGTACCTGCACCGCAAGGGCTTCCGCCTCACCGAGCTCGCGCTGCAGGAGGAGCGCAACCGCCTCTCCACCACCTCCCTCTCCGACGTCTCGCTCTCCAGGTGCGAATCCCCTAAATCTCGACCCCGCCGCCCCTTGTGGTGGCCGCAGCGGCCTCGCCCCCCAAGCTCGCGTAGTAGCCACCGGTTTTCGTGCCGTTTGTGTGAGGAATGGCGCCGGATTGGTGGTTCCGAGTGGCCGAGCCGCGGCGCCTTGGCTATCCTGACTCGGGCCGGGCTGTTTCTGCTAGGTTTAAGTCACTCCGATGTTCAGAATCAGCTTACCCGCTCGAGCGTGAGAAATTGATACTACTTTGGCTTGGGCAATGGCAAACCTTCGACATGATTTGGGCCTTGAGCAGAGTTTATGGGGGCTAATCTAGAGTATCATGTCAAATATGCTCGAAAACTGCTCTAATACCATGTTAATCTGAAAAATTTACTATGTCCCCCTTTGTTGACAGGCCGGATAACGACCCAGCAAGATACTATGATGGCTACAACAAGCTAAGATCATGGGCATACAATTCTCTGGACCAATACAAGGTGTGCTACATTAAGTGTGGATTGTGATTCACGTTTACAGCTCTAGTAGTACATTTGAATGCACTTTGCTTTGCAGCATTCGAGATGTTTTGAGGCATGTAGCTGCTATATCCACACTGTTCAGTAATCTGGCATGCTACTCATGAGTTATCTTCATGCTTCTCTTGTTAAAAATGATCATGCCTGCTTGTGGTTGGTGCACCATGTTTCCAGGATCATGGCTGAATGCTTGCCTACTAGCTTCAGATGTACGTAGCATTTCTGAAATGTTTTTTGTGTTTCATGGCATCTGTTCACACTGCAGAGCTCCTTCTAGAAAGCAAAAACCATTCACATAAGCATAATCATGTACTTGTCACATGATTGTAGTCACTGGAAATGGGATATTTGGTTGCGGTGGATGGACTACTTGCTCTATTTGATGTACCTATTACATGGAATGGCCTTTTTAATTCTTGTATATTCAGCTATATATATTTCATGCCTCTGAGTTTTTTTTAATATTGTAGCATGAATTACTCCGTGTCCTTTATCCAGCGTTTATCCATTGCTTCATGGATCTAGTGTCAGAGGGGCATACACTAGAAGGTAATTATTTTTGTGGGCAAGGAAGGTATTTGTAGTTTGTGTACATTTCTGGGATAATATTTGTTTGCATTTTATGCATCCAATTAGTTTATTTGGAGCATTTCTGTCATTGATATCACCACATATGAATCCTGCAGCTCGGGCATTTTTCCTTAAATTTCGGGAAGATCATGAACTGATGCATTCAAGGGATCTCCAAAAGCTGGAAGGCACTCTTTCTCCTTTGCATTTGGAGGTTCATCATTTAGCTCTCTCGTATCCATTCAAGTGTCAATGGCGATTTGCGTTTGTTTATTTGATTTTATCTTCTCAGGATTCACAAAACATGCACTTATTGTTCTACCTGCTATAATTTTCAGGAAATGGATCTGGCCCGATCTTTAAGGGAAAATAAATTCAGAATTAAATTATGTGAGGTAGTACTGCACCAAGTTCTTCTATATTTGCATTCCATCTCTTTGTTTCAACTACGATTGTATGGGTGGGTCACCTTTTGAGTTAAATCAATGCACATAGATAAAATGTTCCACTGGATGCATATCCGTTGTTGTGACAATAGCTTTATAAGTTGAGATGCTTTATTCTCATGTACCCTTTTCCACCACTTACTTGGTAAGTGTTGTTATGACCAAGGGAAACAAACACAATCTAAGGTTTGTTACAAGCTTTTTCTTCCTGAATCCTAATGGGCAACTAGTTTCACATAGGAGTAGATGATACGTCATCATGATACCATAATACATATACTGAATGCTAGTGTCAAATATGAGACACAAACTGCATATAGACCAGTTTTTAACAGATGTTGCTGGCGAAGCACATTCCATGTGGTGATTTCTAGTTCAATTGGCAACTCGTTGCATGATACATCATGATCTCACCTTTTTTTCTTTGCTGCAATTTTGTTTTTCCTATAAAATTATGTCAACTGCTCTGTTCAAAGTTTCTACCTCGTGTTTCATTGCAGTATTCATATGAATTACTTCTCCAGTATCTCCAGAAAACACAAGCTCTTGTGATGCTTGGAATAATCAATGAAAGGATAATTTTTGAAGGTACAGTTCCCAGTCTGTTGAGATTATATCGCACATTTTACTTACCGTCACTTCTCACTTTTCCACCACTTCCCTCTATCTATATTGGCAGTGTCCGCTGGGCAACCTTCATTGATCTCTGATGATGCGGATGTTGTTGCTCTGGTTGGAACCAGCAAGGACTTGGCAAAACAGATAAATCAGAAGGAAGTGCATTGGGGGGTATGTTATTCAGCACATCCGTGATCAATGTGTTTGTTTCCTATTATCTATTCTATCAAAACGGTTAACAATGCCGATCAAATAGGGAAAAAACTCTAGTAGCACTGTTTTTGCCACTTCCCAAACGAACCTCTTCCATGAGAGCAATTTTCCAGTTTTCTATTTAAGTATTTATTCTTCGTTATCCTTAGGCATGTGTTATTGTTAAAATTAAATTTATGGTATGCAGTTGCTTGAAGATTCAGTTGAGGAGCGTATGGAGAAAGCACTCTCAGATTCTGATAGAGCTGAAGCAGAAAGCAAGGATGCAGATGCAGAAGATAATAACAAGGCAAGAAACTCTCTCATAGTATGGGACTCTTGTTATATTATGTTTCTTATATGCTCTCTGCCATTGAAACCTGGACATTCCTTTTTGTCAACACTCAGCAGCATGTTTTTGTTCTTCTCTTCTTCTGCTGTTATCTTAAGAACAGGAATGCTGTCCATATACCCTTTTCTGTTACTAACTTGGATCTTTCATTATTTCTTGTTATATTTGCTACAGAAAAAATCCTCAGAAGGTGGAAAGCAGGGTGGTCCTCTGAACAAAAAGCTCAAAAAGGATAAGCTTGTAGGTGCAACAGGGAAAAATACCAAATCCGAAACAAGCATGATTTCTGCGGCACCTCGTGTGAAACCGGAGCTAACCCTTCCAGCGACGTAAATATTTATTCTCTTATCTGCAGTTCTAAAAAAAGTTCTACATAATTTATCAACTGTACTCTTTGAAAATAAATACCATTCCTATAACTGACTGTGGGTCCATACTCCAGACATGTGAGTGTCATGTGCTTGAGCCTGACTTGGAACCTAAAATAAAGGCCGAGGGGTTTTATGCGGGTTCTCTTGGAAAAGTTATCTTACAAGTTTCAGGAGGACCAAATATTGCTCTTTTTTCTTTTTGCAGAACATACTCACTTGTGTACTTTTTGATCTGTCAAGTGTCAGCCTTGCGTTTACGATCCTGAAAAATTACTTGTTTGTTTCAGGCCTGTTGAAGTTGAACAATCAATTCTTGAGGACCTGCGAAACCGTGCACAATTGAATAACTTGGCATTGCCATCTGTTAGCTTCTACACATTCCTTAATACACATAACGGGTAAGCTTAGCTGTAATTTAGGGCCAGTTCTTTTGGGCAATTCTCCGAGAATTGACCCCCTCCCCAACTTCTCCCAGAATTGCCACACTATATTTTCTTACAATTCCTAGCTAACTAGATCTTAACTAGCTAGGAATTGTAAAAAAAGATGAAGTGGCAATTCTGGGAGAAGCTGGGGAGGGGGTCAATTCTCGGAGAATTGCCCAAAAGAACTGGCCCTTAGTATCAACTGTTTCAGTGTGCATACTTTGGTTTGAAAACATTATCCTGTGGAACACAGATTAAACTGCTCATCGATCTCAAACGATGGATCTTTGGTCGTTGGTGGGTTCTCAGACTCGTCAGTAAAGGTTAGTCCCTTTAGGTGATAGTTTGTCTCTCATGTGATCACTACATTAACTGGTAAAACTTTCTTGTTCACTAGGTTTGGGATATGGCAAAGATTGGTCAACCAGCAAAAACATGTTAGTCGTTCTACACTACATATTGCTGATGTTTCTGTTCCGCTGATATGGTGAAATGCTTCTGTAACTGCACACCTGATTTCGGTCATGGTAGCCTTTTGTTCTAAGGATTCTAGTTTATTTCATTTAGTTTAAGTTACAACCTAGAAGTTTAAGGTGGTGTTGTAGCACTGATGCATGTCTTGGACAATGCAATAAATGTCTTCTGGAGCTACTTGTTAGACATGCTAGAATATTTTAACAGCGTTGCAGTATTTGACTGGTACCTGTCCAGAACTTCAGAATAATCATAGAACATATTCCTAACATAGTAGTGTTTTCATTTCTATCTTGAATTCTTGATGGTATTTGCTGATTGGGCAAATTTGGACTCTCAGCTGGTTCACAAGGAGAGAATGGATCTTCACAGGACGAGCGCTTGTCATCAACATCTGAGGGGAAAAGACCGTATACATTATTCCAAGGTCATTCTGGACCAGTTTATTCCGCTGCCTTTAGTCCATTTGGAGATTTTCTCCTGTCATCATCTTCAGATTCAACAAGTAAGGTGTCACTTACATTATACAGTACTTATTTTGTACTCCCTCCGTCTCATTGTAGGACAAAAACAAAAAACATCCTACATTATGGGACGGAGGGAGTACCATTCATTTCCTTGTTCATTTATTTAATAAAACAAACCGTTCATCTATTTTTTATATATTTGTTACAGTTAGGCTGTGGAGTACCAAGCTGAATGCCAATCTTGTTTGTTACAAAGGACACAATTACCCAGTTTGGGATGTCCAAGTATGTGAACATATCTTTTCTCTGTGTCGTTGTTGTGAAAACAACATTTGAGTTCTTGCTTCATGGGGTGTCTTGGCTACCTAGTTACAGGCAAAAACATTTGATTAGTTGATTCTTCAGCAGTTTTTATCTGAATGATGCTCAGATCTGTTGTTACAATCAATGTCAATGCCGTACAGTCAGTCAGTTGTTCAGTAGTTTGAAATAAACTCTTCTGAAGTTCTAATTGTGGCCTGATTTCAGTAGTTTCTAATAAACTCTTCTGAAGTTCTAATAGTGGCCTCATTTCAGTAGTTTTAAATAAACTCTTCTGAAGTTCTAATAATAGTGGCCTCATTTCAGTAGTTTTTAATTAACTCTTCTGGATTTTTTTTGAGAGAAAACTCTTCTGGAGTTCTAATAGTGGCCTCATTGTTACAAAAAATGTCCATGCCCTACTATTGTTTTAGTCTTGATCTTGGTGCGAGGGCAAAACTGCAAATACTTGTGATAAATATTCCTAGTTCGTTCTTCATTTTGAACACTTCTGATGATGGGATTTGGAATAGGTCTGTTGGGCTTGATGTTTTTTTCAACAGCTTATGACTGGTACATATATTTGTGTTGCATAGCTTTCTGATTCTGTTGTATTGAATAGACATCTTTGTGCGTTGTATACTTGCATTGCTGACATATTTTTATGTTTTTGTGGCAGTTTAGTCCAGTCGGCCATTATTTTGCCAGTGCCTCGCATGACAGGACTGCTCGAATCTGGTCAATGGATAAAATCCAACCTTTGCGGATAATGGCCGGGCATCTTGCTGATGTTGATGTAAGTGTGCTTCTATCTCTGAACTTGTATTGATTTGAGAATTGGTAGCCTGCCTATGGGAATGCTTTCAATGCCATTTACTGATGTCTGCATGTTCTGACTGATGTTTTCTTCTGCAAACTACTTATCTGACAGTGTGTGCAGTGGCATGTAAACTGTAACTACATTGCCACCGGCTCTAGTGACAAAACTGTACGGCTATGGGATGTTCAAACTGGTGAATGTATACGAATGTTTATTGGTCATAGGAGTATGGTCTTATCACTGGCAATGTCTCCTGATGGGCGATACATGGCCTCCGGAGACGAAGATGGGACCATCATGATGTGGGATCTCTCTACTGGTCGCTGCGTTTCACCACTAGCGGGACACAACTCTTGTGTGTGGTCACTTGCTTTCAGGTACTCATCATTATACATTGTTTTGCTTGCTTAGTATCCCATGTGTCAAACAGTAGCTGATATACCAAATATGTGTAAAGAGTAGTCCCTCTCTAAAGAAATATAAGAGCATGTTACTCCCTCCGTTCCGAATTACTTGTCGCAGGTATGGATGTATCTAGATGTATTTTAGTTCTAGATACATCCATTTCTGCGACGAGTAATTTGGAACGGAGGGAGTAGATCACTAGAGTAGTGATCTAAACGCTCTTAGATTTCTTTACGGAGGGAGTATTAGTTTATGGCAGGGCTTGAGAAACTGGCCTTTCCTGTCTTCTGCCTTTAATCAGTTTGCTGAGCAGCGGCTTCAGTTCACACTGGGTTAGATTTATCTATACATGAGCAATGGGTTTACTAACCATTTTGGCCACCTTTTTAGAGTATTTAACTGGAATATTGCATGATTCTGTCTTCAAATGACCACACCATGGAACTTGAATGTACAACGATGGTCCAGCTTATGTACTTGGTCGCAATGCAGTTGTTGGTTGACCGCAGTAGATTTACTTCTGGATCTATTATTTAAAAATCCTGTAATTTTTCCCATGTTTTAACCACTGTTTCCAGTATAAATTATGTAAAAAATGTCTTCCATCAACGGATTAGATTGAGTATCACTGATAGTTCTTCTGTTTTGAAGTGTACATTTTTTCTCTTCCAGTGAGTAGTCATGCTGTGTTGTTCTGTCTAGTTACATTATGGGACGGAGGGAGTATGTTTTTTTAGTTTTTGGAGAAGCATGATTACCTTAATTTCATGCTAATATGCTATACCAAAGAACCATCTTAGTTCAACAATTCTTCCTCTGTTTTATAGCTGCGAGGGAGCATTGCTTGCATCTGGATCGGCTGATTGCACTGTTAAACTCTGGGATGTTGCGTCCAGCACAAAGGCCCTGAAGATGGATGACACGTAAGTTGGTTGGCTCCCTTGTAAAAGGCTGCTTTGGTTTGCCTTGCTCTAGTTGTTAAATATCGTTTATTTTTGTGAAACAGCAAGGCTGGTTCTACGAACCGACTGAGGCTGCTGAAAGCTCTCCCTACAAAATCGACTCCTGTTTATAACTTGCGGGTGAGAAACCCATTCTCCTTCAATCCACCGTTCTCATCAGTTAACATATGATAGTAACCGTGTTGAGCGAAAACCAACTAACTGCTTTTTTCCAACTGCAGTTTTCTGGGAGGAATCTTTTGTTTGCATCTGGCGCTCTCTCGCTATAGGCTCCTAAGCTTGCCATATGCTCTCCAGAATACAGTTTACATCCCTTAGTTTTGACTGTAGGTAGCAAAGTAGATGTTTAATTGGCTGACTCTTGTTGCGGAGCTTATTACATTGTCCTTACTGATCTCAGTCAACTCTATCATCGACTAGGTAGGGTTTTTAAACTGTAGCCTGTGAGCATTGCGACTCATTGAAACGTGTGTATTGCTGTTGTAACATTAGTTAATTTTAAATTATGTAAAAGGTAGTAGTCACAAATAGGAAACATGAACACTTGGTTGATGCAAGAAGTCAATGGTCCAAAAGCTTCTAGGATCCACTTGAGGGTTGTTTTCACTTATCTTGGTGTAGGGTCTGAAGGAGCTGCCATTTTATATAGTTATACGACTTACAAGAGAAAAAAAGCACGACCAGTGTCTTGAGTTGAGTGGCAAGCAAAGGCCATATCTATCTCTTAGCTATTGCTGATGTTGAGTTAATTGTGACTGCCCTCATTGCTCCAAGCTTGTGCCATTTTGTATCATATTCCTACTACTATCTGTCAGACATCTCGATCAGGACGTTCCTATCATAAGTAAATGTTGATTTCTTCATGATGCCCAATACCCAACCCGTTGTGCACCCTGCATTTTGTCGACCTGCCGCGCAGAAGGTCTCTCTCTGCCTGGCTGCGCCGCAATATGTTCTGTCCTGCAGAAACAGCGACGCAAAGTACTAGGTGGGAGGTGGCATAAAATTTTGACCTGACCGCTGTGTTGGATGTCAAAGCTGAAATGATGCGTAACAATGGCAGATGCGACCCGAGTGTGTGGATGTGAGGGGCGCTCCACAAGTGTTCTTAAACCGCTGCGGCCTGAGCTAGCCATCTACTAGCTGAGCATCCAACTTTCACCTTGATATACTAGTAGTTGTATCGAGTAACTATCTTTTCTTGGCATGTAATCCTCGATAAAAGGAAGCACCTTCCTAGCTGCCAGGTTTCTATGGATGATCAGTGCATTTTAACAGCCTAGTAATTCCTCTGTTCTTAAATATAAGTCTTTTTAAAGATCTCAATAAGAGACTACACAGGAAGCGAAATGATTGAATCTACACTCTAAAATATGTCTATACACATCCGCATGTGGTTTGTATTGAAATCTCTAAATAGGTATCTATTTAGAAACAGAGGGAGTACTATTCATCTTCTCCCCCTCCTAGTCGGCCTACTCTCTAGTCCCTGCTTAACTGCCTACCGGCTACCGCTGATGTGCGCCAGCCTTCCCTCTTCTCTCATGCCACAACTGTTCCGACCACCCCTCTAAGCTCCACCCTTCTCATGCGCATGGGAGCACCTGTCAACCCTCTTCCTATGCTCCGCATGCACTACTAGAAAAAGGGCCATCTGTCCCGGTTCATAAGGCCCATCTGTCCCGGTTAGGGTGAAGGAAATATGCCCTAGAGGCAATAATAAAGTTATTATTTATTTCCTCATATCACGATAAATGTTTATTATTCATGCTAGAATTGTATTAACCGGAAACATGATACATGTGTGAATACATAGACAAACATATAGTCACTAGTATGCCTCTACTTGACTAGCTCATTAATCAAAGATGGTTATGTTTCCTAACCATTGACATGTGTTGTCATTTGATTAATGGGATCACATCATTAGGAGAATGAGGTGATTGACATGACCCATCCCATTAGCTTAGCACTTGATCGTTTAGTATTCTGCTATTGCTTCCTTCATGACTTATACATGTTCCTGTAACTATGAGAATTGTGTAACTCCCGTTTACCGGAGGAACACTTTGGGTACTACCAAACGTCACAACGTAACTGGGTGATTATAAAGGAGTATTACAGGTGTCTCTGAAGGTACATGTTGAGTTAGCATAATTCGAGATTAGGTTTTGTCACTCCGATTGTCGGAGAGGTATCTCTGGGCCCTCTCGGCAATGCTCATCACCTAAGCCTTGCAAGCATGTAACTAATGAGTTAGTTATAAGATGAAGTATTACAGAACGAGTAAAGAGACTTGTCGATAATGAGATTGAACTAGGTATTGGATACCGACGATCGAATCTCGGACAAGTAACATACCGATGACAAAGGGAACAACGTATGTTGTTATGCGGTTTGACCGATAAAGATCTTCGTAGAATATGTAGGAACCAATATGGGCATCCAGGTCCCGCTATTGGTTATTGACCAGAGATGTGTCTCAGTCATGTCTACATCGTTCTCGAACCATAGGGTCCGCACGCTTAAGGTTTCGATAACAGTTATATTATGAGTTTATGTATTTTGATGTACCGAAGGTTGTTCGGAGTCCCGGATATGATTACGGACATGACGAGGAGTCTCGAAATGGTCGAGACATAAAGATTGATATATTGGACGGATATATTTGGACACCGGAAAGGTTCCGGAGAAGTTTGGAGCCCCGGGAGGTTACCGGAACCCCCCGGGAGGTATATGGGCCTTATTGGGCCCATGTAGGAGGAAGAGAGAAGGAGCAAGGGAGGGGGGCGCGCCCCCCCAAGCCCAATCCGAATTGGGGAGGGGGGCCGGCCCCCCCTTTCCTTTCTCCTTCCCCCTCTTCCTATTACTACTACTAGTACTACTTCCTAATACTAGTACTCTTTCCTTCCCCCTCCAAATAAGATAAGGAAAAGAGAGGGAAACCTACTTGGAGTAGGTTTCCCCCTCCTCATGGAGCGCCCCCCTAGGGCCGACCACCTCCTCCCTCCCTCCTTTATATACGGGGGTAGGGGGGCACCCTAGAACACACAAGTTGATCATTGATCGTTCCTTAGCCGTGTGCGGTGCCCCCCTCCACAATATTACACCTCGGTCATATTGTAGCGGTGCTTAGGCGAAGCCCTGCAACAGGAGAACATCAAGATCGTCACCACGCCGTCGTGCTGACGGAACTCCCCCTCGGCGCCTCTGCTGGATCGGAGATCGAGGGTGCGTCATCGAGCTGTACGCGTGTCAAGAACTCGGAGGTGCCGGAGTAACGGTACTTGGATCGGTTGAACCGGAGGACGTACGACTACTTCCTCTACGTTGCGTCAACGCTTCCGCTTTGGTCTACAAGGGTACGTAGACAACACTCTCCCCTCGTTGCTATATCATCACCATGATCTTGCGTGTGCGTAGGAATTTTTTTGAAATTACTACGTTCCCCAACAGTGGCATCCGAGCCTAGGTTTTATGCGTTGATGTTATATGCACGAGTAGAACACAAGTGAGTTGTGGACGATATAAGTCATACTGCCTACCAACATGTCATACTTTGGTTCAGCGGTATTGTGAGATGAAGCGGCCCGGACCGACATTACGCGTACGCTTACGCGAGACTGGTTTCACCGTTACGAGCACTCGTGCTTAAAGGTGGCTGGCGGGTGTCTGTCTCTCTCACTTTAGTTGAACCGAGTGTGGCTACGCCCGGTCCTTGTGAAGGTTAAAACGGAGTCTATTTGACAAACTATCGTTGTGGTTTTGATGCGTAGGTGAGATTGGTTATTGCTTAAGCCCGTAGCAGCCACGTAAAATTTGCAACAACAAAGTAGAGGACGTCTAACTTGTTTTTGCAGGGCATGTTGTGATGTGATATGGCCAAGACATGATGCTATATTTTATTGTATGAGATGATCATGTTTTGTAACCGAAGTTATCGGCAACTGGCAGGAGCCATATGGTTGTCGCTTTATTGTATGAAATGCAAACGCCCTGTAATTGCTTTACTTTATCACTAAGCGGTAGCGATAGTCGTAGAAGCAATAGATGGCGTAACGACAACGATGCTACGATGGAGACCAAGGTGTCGCGCCGGTGACGATGGTGATCACGACGGTGCTTCGAAGATGGAGATCACAAGCACAAGATGATGATGGCTATATCATATCACTTATATTGATTGCATGTGATGTTTATCCTTTATGCATCTTATCTTGCTTTGATTGACGGTAGCATTTTAAGATGATCTCTCACTAATTATCAAGAAGTGTTCTCCCTGAGTATGCACCGTTGCGAAAGTTCTTCGTGCTGAGACACCACGTGATGATCGGGTGTGATAGGCTCTACGTTCAAATACAACGGGTGCAAAACAGTTGCACACGCGGAATACTCAGGTTATACTTGACGAGCCTAGCATATACAGATATGGCCTCGGAACACGGGGACCGAAAGGTCGAGCGTGAATCATATAGTAGATATGATCAACATAGAGATGTTCACCATTGAAACTACTCCATCTCACGTGATGATCGGACATGGTTTAGTTGATTTGGATCACGTAATCACTTAGATGACTAGAGAGATGTCTGTCTAAGTGGGAGTTCTTTAGTAATATGATTAATTGAACTTAAATTTATCATGAACTTAGTACCTGATAGTATTTTGCTTGTCTATGTTTGTTTGTAGATAGATGACTCGTGCTGTTGTTCCGTTGAATTTTAATGCGTTCCTTGAGAAAGCAAAGTTGAAAGATGATGGTAGCAATTACATGGACTGGGTCCGTAACCTGAGGATTATCCTCATTGCTGCACAGAAGAGTTACGTCCTGGAAGCACCGCTGGGTGCCAGGCCTGCTGCTGATGCAACTGACGACGTTAAGAACTTCTGGCAGAGCAAAGCTGATGACTACTCTATAGTTCAGTGTGCCATGCTTTACGGCTTAGAACCGGGTCTTCAACGACGTTTTGAACGTCATGGGGCATATGAGATGTTCCAGGAGTTGAAGTTAATATTTCAAGCAAATGCCCGGATTGAGAGATATGAAGTCTCCAATAAGTTCTACAGCTGCAAGATGGAGGAGAACAGTTCTGTCAGTGAGCAATACTCAAAATGTCTGGGTATAAGAATCACTTGATTCAACTGGGAGTTAATCTTCCGGATGATAGCGTCATTGACAGAATTCTCCAATCACTACCACCAAGCTACAAGAGCTTTGTGATGAACTATAATATGCAAGGGATGAACAAGACTATTCCCGAGCTCATCA